CAAAAAATTATGACGTCTTGAATTAACCACCCCTTTTTATTCTAAACGATAATTGTGGTTGTAAACAGACTTTGGTTTATTCGCATGGCGATTATATATATAACTATATATTTCAAAAAGAAAATAGAGTTTTACCATGAATAGTTTCCTGCACGTAGTCTTTTTCAGTAAAATGTGCCTCGCAAACAACAGCTGATTGAGATGGACTCCACGATAACATCGTGTTCTCCTCCAATCTGCGTATGGGCCATGGCGTTGATCCAACTTTTCCTTCTTTTTAAGTCATTTGGAAATGCATGTCCTCCTCTTAAATGACATCCAGGTACACAACAACAAGTACATGGCATCGTTAATTAAAAATGTGACTGTAATCAGGTTGCACAGTGCAGAAACCGGAAGTTGACGAACAGGAAGGGCTACCACGGCGCCACCTAATCAGGAACGATAATTTGGTACTTTTTATAACTGATACCGAAATAACAATAGCGTCATACGGCTTCACGTGCATAAACAGAAATGCGCTTTAAATTGTAAAATATAATTCATGTCCAGTCGACCTTTAATTATGATATCAACGACTGAAATGATTTAAAAACATCTAGATTGCAGATAACACTCGAAATTAACCCGACCTCTTTCCACACGGAATTCAAATAATGTCTAGTTTGTCAATCGGTTGACTGCTTATAATGCAAAATACAAATATATCAAAAGTTTTTAAAACTAACAAAACACAATGATCGTTTCTTTATTTCCCAATGTAAATGAAATGAAACAAAAAACATTTTATATCACAAAAAGAAGAGGAGAGAATTCAACATTTCCGGATCTACTTGTAGCCTAATGACCCCCCAATAAGTTGGATATCGCGGAAGGAAAGATTAACCCGGCAACCAGAAAGGCATTAAAGCACTGCCTATAAAAATGGTAAAATTTGTCATGAAAGAGCAAGAACTCCAATAATCAATTGATTGACAATTTCAGCCATTGTGAGTTATTTGAAGATCTTGTCTTGCTGATCATTTTTGCTTTTTAAAGTGTCTATCAATTTACTAGTTTTCCAGATAATAGACAAAAACGATAAAAATTGGTAAAATAGTCATTGAAGAGCAATAACTCTCGTTAAACTGGCAATTTTGTCCATTGTCTTTTCTGTAGAAATAGTCTTGCTGATCATTGTGGCTTTTTTTAAATTTCTATCTATCTTTTATAATTTTAAGATATTAGACAAGAACACCCTGTGAGCAAGGTGAGCTAAAAATTGGAAAAAAAATAGATATTTCAGGGTCAATAACTCCAATGCAAGTGGTTTAGATTACATCTTGTCCTGCTGATCATTTTTGCATTTTACATCTAGCACCTATAGTTTTTAAAACAATGGTAAGGAAATGCAAACTAGAGGCTCGCTCACCTTGGTCTATGTGCATATTAAACAAAGGACACAGATGGATTCATGACAAAATTGTGTTTTGGTGATGGTGATGTGTTTGTAGATCTTACTTTACTGAACATTCTTGATGCTTACAATTATCTCTATCTATAATGAACTTGGCCCAATAGTTTCAGTGGAAATTATTTTGTAAAAATTTACAAAATTTATGAAAATTGTTAAAAATTGATTATAAAGGGCAATAACTCCTTAAGGCATCAATTGACCATTTTGGTCATTTTGACTTATTTGTAGGTCTTACTTTGCTGTACATTATTGCTGTTTACAGTTTATCTCTATCTATAATAATATTCAAGATAATAACCAAAAGCTGAAAAAATGTCTAAAAATTACCAATTCAGGGGCAGCAACCCAACAACGGGTTGCCTGAATGGTCTGAAAACTTAAGGGCAGATAGATCTTGACCTAATGAACAATTTTGTTTTGAAAGATTTGCTTTAAATGCTTTGGGTTTAGCTATATGAGCCAAAAACTGCATTTAACCCTATGTACTATTATTAGCCATGTCGGCCATCTTGGTTCGCGGGCGGGGTCATCAGACACAATTTTTAAACTACATACCCTAATGATGATTGTTTACAAATTTGGTTAAATTCATCTTAGTGATTTCAGAGAAGATTTTTGTAAAAGATAACAAAAATCATGAAAAATTGTTAAAAATTTACTATAAAAGGGCAATAACTCCTTAAGGGGTCAACTGACCATTTTGGTCATGTTGACTTATTTGTAGAACTTACTTTGCTGAACATTATTGCTGTTTATCTCTATCTATAATAATATTCAAGATAATAACCAAATACGACAAAATTTCCTTAAAATTATTACTTCAGGGGCAGCAACCTAACAACGGGTTGTCCGATTCATCTGAAAATTTCAGGGCAGATAGATCTTGACCTGATAAACATTTTACCCCATGTCAGATTTGCTCTTAATGCTTTGGTTTCAGAGATATAAGCCAAAATCTACATTTTATCCCTATGTTCTATTTTTAGCCATGGTGGCCATCTTGGTTTGTTGGCCGGGTCACCGGACACATTTTTTAAACTAGATACCCTAATAATGATTGTGGCCAAGTTTGGTTAAATTTGGCCCAGTAGTTTCAGGGGAGAAGATTTTTGTAAAAGTTTACGGACGATGGACGACGGATGCCAAGTGATGAGAAAAGCTCACTTGGCACTTTGGGCCAGGTGAGCTAAAAACAATTAAGTTATAAATCAATATTTCAGGGCCAATAACTTTGAGGACAAAATTTTTTAAATTTTCAGGATAGATATTACTTCTTGTGCAGACCTTTTTTACTGTTGTCAGTTTTTCTCTAATCGCTAGTTTTGAAGATATTAGCAAAAAATGTAGTTTGACCCTTATATTCATTTTTTTAGACATGGTGGCCATTTTTGTTGATCAAGCTGGACAAAAATCAAAGACTTCATAGGTGACATATAGTAAATGATGAAGACAAAATTTGGTTTCAATCTATTGAGCAGTTTCAGAGAGTATAAAAGATTACGGACAGGTGACGACTGCAAAGTGAGGGCGAAAGCTCACATGGCTCTTTGGGTCAGGTGAGCTAAAAACTTGCCCAATATGAAAATAAAACAAAAAAGTCATTGAAGTATAAAACTATGTCTAAGTCAAGAAAAGCTCTTATTATACCTGAAACTGAAACTTCAAATGATAGAGAGTCTAATAAAACAAGGTACAAAATATCAAAGATTTAATGAAATAATTCCACAGCAAAATTGACACCAACTAAAAAGTAAAATAAATTGCTTCGCCGAGCGCAGCTGTATACAACCACAGAGGTCCAACCCTGAACAGTTGGGGCAAAAATGGACACAATATTCGCGCTTGATACAGGTCTGAATTTGGATTGTAATTAAATATTTGACACATAATAGGCTTCTGACACAGTATAACTGAAGTTAAAGAACATATAATTGGTTATATGATTTGAATTTATATTCAATTTTTTGCTTTTGTGCAATACACTATGCTGTTTCGAAACGACCCCACCCAATTCAATTCAAATTTCCCCCCAAGGGTGACTAAGGAATAGAAGTATGGTCACCATTGGTCTTCCTTCGACCGGCAGTAAAACCCTTGCTAAAGTGGGGCGTCCGTTTGGCTGTGAGGGATGTACAAATTTGCAGCCACGTCCGGTCAGAATGGGGACGTTAAATCCGATGCCTCGTGTAAAGAGAATGCCGCGCTCTTTGCACGTTAAGAACCCTTGCAACAACCCTTTGAGGGGTCCGTAAGTGACCTGTTGCAAGGCTAAATTTCTGTTCCTATCCAATATACCCTCATTTCCCGTGGCAGTCTAAATTTCTCCGACCTTAATCCGGGACGCCCCTTTTACAGAACCTACCTATTGTATTTATTGTTAATTTGTACTCGTCCTGAATATGCATGAAATATTTGCCACTGGACGTTAAGCAACCAACAATCAATCAATCAATCAATCAATTCAAATTTCCAATGGAGTTTGCAACCATAATTACCCATTTAAATACATCATCAAAGTCTTAAAATAGAAAATGACATACCCGGTACATAATCATGGCTAAAATCAATATTCCTTAATCAGCATTTTTAAATAGTAACTTCTAAAAATAAATGGACAGCTAATCACCTCAAGACAATACAACATTTCTTTATACATAATGTTAAAGCAGTGTAAGGGAGGTAATCCAAACATAACATTGTACTTTTTTTTAATTGTCCATTAACGAGGAAACCCTTGTTTTTCCCCCTTTTTTGCCCCTAATTCCTAAACTGTTTGAGCCATAACCCCCCAAAGCCAATCCTAAATCATCCCTTTGTGGTATGGAAATTTGTGGTATAATTTCAGAGAGATCCATACACCGTTCCAAAAGTTATTGTCTGGAAACTAGAAAATGCTTATTTGGGCCCCTTTTTGGCCCCTAATTCCTAAACTGTTAGGACTATAACACCCAAAATCAATCCCAACCTTCCTTTTGAGGTTATAAACCTTGTGTTTAAATTTCATAGATTTCTATTAACATTTACTAAAATTATTGTCCGGAATATTGCTGGATGATGCTGACAACGACAACGTGATACCAATACACGACTGCATTTTGCGGTCGTATAAAAATTAAACAATGTAAAATAAAATGTTCACTGAATCATGCCTTTTTTGTGGATGACAAATGTAAAACATTAATAGTACTAGGCTTACACTTGGAGAATTAAGCCAGAAGTACCCAGTGGGTCCAGAGCATCGCCCTGTTAAGGACACGGTAGGAGTTTTATCTCAGATGGTTAGTCTCTACCTGATGCGTTTTACCCAACATTTTTACCCTACCCACTTTCCTTTAATTTCTCAATATCATATTTATAATAATGAGGCCTTGTATGTTGATTAGTTAGTGACATCATTGGCTTTTAAAATTTTCTTACTGTCAATTTGACCAAAGACTTTTAAAGAAAATTTGTGTACATGTTAACAAACAATGACAAACATCAAGCGACAGCTCATAGTAACTCTTAAGACCAATGGAGCTATGATGATAAAAGACTACAAAACTTTTGCTTTATCATATAACAATCTTTATTAATATCAACAACTGGATGGCTATACATCATCTATATCATTCTAAAAGATGTAAATAGATCATTATATACATACACAATAACAACTTTTTTTAATCAAGCTAGGTAATCATTCTCATATAAGAAATTGAAATTTAAAAACAAAACTTTTTAGGATTTTAAATATGTAGTTTTCTGAGGGAAAAGACTGTGTTAAATACAAGAGTGACAGAGGGAGCAAGGTATGTAGTATCCTTATTTTAAGTTCAATCAGCAAGATGAGATGCACATAGTTCCCAATCTAATCATTTCAGATGTAACCTATGAAAAATAAGCCATTATTATGAATGAGTTAAAGATAAGTCAATAAATAAACATACCTGAAAACCATTAATAAATAAAACCAACTTAAAAACTATTAAAACTTTAAAATATAAAAGAAATGTGCATGAAAAATCTGAAAATAATTAAAAATAAAATTATTATTCCACAAATAGAGGTACAATGTATATGTATCTGTTCTAAAAATGTTATGCCAAATTCACACAGAAAAGCAACTAAAAAATCCTTGAAGTTTGTAATAGATAAAAAAAAATATATAATTTGCAGCTCTTCAAAGTAGCATTAAGTTTAAGTACATTCAGAACAAATATCTCAATTTAGGAATGTTCCTTTGATGTTAATACTTTTTTCTTTAGATTTCTATAAATTTTATATAAATTGTTAACACAGAGGTATGTCTGCGTTTTTGTAATTTTGATAATGGAAATGTTGAAATTAAAATAGCAATACTTTGACATGTAAGTTATGCAAATATTCAAAGTCAATGAACCATGACTGAAGGTACATGGCTAAACAATCTCCATGGAAATGAGATGTACCAATGCTAATACAACTGCATACCAAATTCCATTAACTTATTATAAGTCGTTGCTTTAAACAAACCAAAATACAAACATGATGAGGGGGTGGGGCTATATAATCTCCATGGAAAAGAGACTTTCAAATGCCAATAAATTTGCATACCAAATATCATTGACTTAACATTAGCGGTTCATCTTAAACTAATCTAATCACAAACTAATACATGTAAACTAAGCAAAAGTTTTGAAGTCAATAGACCATGACTGAGGGGGCAGGGCCAAATATTCTCCATGGAAATGATATGTGCCAATGCTTATACAACTGCATACCAAATGTCATTGACCTACCACTAGTGGTTCGCCATAAACTGACCTAATCACAAACAAATACATGTTAACTTAGCAAAAATTTCAAAGTCAATAGACCATGACAGAGAGGGCAGGGCCAAATAATCTCCATGGAAATGAGATGTGCCAATGTTAATACAACTGCATACCAAATATCATTGACCTACCATTAGTGGTTCACCATAAACTAGACCTAATCACAAACTAATACAGTGTTGATGCCGCTGCCGCCGCTGCCAGAAACAGCATACCTATGTCTCGCTTTTTGACTCTGTCAAAGCGAGACAAAATATTATTTGTGATTTAGACAATCTAACCTTCATGGATTTAGACCTCAAGTTATAATTATAAGGCAATCAATCTATGGTAACTTACAGAAAATAGTGTTATAAATAGCATTCTTAAGAGAAATATGAGGCCAAAACAGAAGTTTGATCTTCTCTGCAATAAACACTAACACTGTCAACAGAAACTTCTTATTTTTTCTAATTTTTTTTCAGCTGACAAACTGTCTACCTTCAGATTGGAGAGAAGAATATGAAACAAATAAATGAAAAAATAGGTGAGAGGGATAAGGGCCATATTAGGCATAAAAATCAAAGTATGACAAAATCAGATGATTTTTGCACAATTCATAATTGATATGTTTGTACAAAATTTAAACCATAAGGAATTTCAAATATCATGAATATTCATCAAAATTGGGTTTCAAAAGATAGCATAAATTGAATTTTTCACAAAAACACAAAGAAGGGCTTTTGCCATGATGTCACAAGAACATTTATTATAACAAAATGATTCATAAACTACCTGTTTTTGCTTTTGGCTTTGCAATACCTTATCTTTAAAACTGACATAAATGGAAATCTTGAATCAAAAGTGGATATTTCAGTTAAAAATAAGGCAGATTTAACCCTTATCACCTCTTGTCCTTTTTAAGCTTTTATAAGAAATGCAAATTATATGTTTTTTTATTTGAAATCATAAAAGATTTTATAGCACTAAAGAATACATGGATAAGACTGAGTTAAAGTCTAGACAAAGATTGTGTCTGGTCCAAATACCAAATTTGAATACAATTATATACATCAATGAATCTTACAACTTAAATAAATGTTTTTTACATGCTGCCTTTACAAGTTACCATAACAATATACATATCATAAGAAATACATGTACACTATACATAACAATATATGCACAAAAAACATCTTTGTAAACTACACATAACAAAATACATAGCATAAGAAATATCTCTACACATAACAATATACATGAAAAATTCCTCAAATTATTTATTCAGATCTTTTATTAGAAATACAATCTCACAGGACGGACCATTTTTAGCACTTAATATCAGACAGTTATAATGAGATGTCAGAATTTAAACCAAACTGTGACATGTCATATTCTTATGATAATGGTAATATATTTTTGTCTCAATAATTTTCAGATAGCAAATAACTCTATGACTATTGTTTTGATTTTTATCAGATCAAAGTTTCTTCACTAGGAAACACATAAAAAAAAGACTAAAATATTTTATGCTACTCCTGTTATAAATAATACTTAACATATTGGTTTTATAACTTTTAAACTAAATTAAAGCAAAAATATTAACTATAACATTTTCATGCTCAATGAACTACCTGTCAACTGACTGGGATCCTGCGGGTGTGACCCGAGATTTTTACAATTCTGAGGGGTCACCCGGAACACCTGCCGGATGACCAAATAACCCGGGAATTCGAAAAATAACCCGTTTCCACCCGGATTCCTTAGCCTTCAGACTGATTAGATATAAAGTGATTTCAATGAAATACCGGCAAATTCGTAATTCTTCCTGGACAAGAAGTTCAACTAGCTATGTAAACTCAGCTCAATTGACCCATTTCAGTGCATGGCTTCACTTGACAGCTTTGGTGTCAAACACACTGTTAATTAACACCAATTACCTTAGCTTTAGGTCGTAAATAATTTGTGTATTTCAAAGTTGTTTTAAAGTTTCAAAGTTACTTCCCCTTTTTTGTCAATATACAATATACTCCTTAAACTTATGGTTTTTTATTGTAAAAAGATTAAATCTAAAATGAATTGAATGCACAAACATATCAGAATAATACTTTTACTTATTGTTCTACCTTAGAAGAATTAAAAAATAAAAATTTTGAAAATTACTTTTTTCATCTATACCTCCTTTAATTGTTTAACTTTATTTTATTATACTCTAATATCAACCAATGCTATGATTTACTGTTCAAAAGCTGCACAAACGTATGTAAAGAAAACTAAAGATAAAAAAAAAAATGTATGTAAAGAAAACACAAAGTGGCACATTTATGTCATGGAATGAATATGAACAGGAACACAAATCTATCAATGGACTCTAGGTGCAATGAAATAATAATATGTACAGTTTTAAATTACTTAACCATGTGGACATGTTTTGGACACTTTGATATAAATTATAAGAAAAATGTCCCCTAAATACTGAAATTCAGCTCGAAAAAGTTCGTACGCGTTATGACCTGAGATTTCATTCTTCTTTGCAGGTCATCACCTGCAATTTCATTGTTATAGGTTGACAGGTATGGTAATATGACAGTTGTTTTCCATTCGTTTGATGTGTTTGAGCTTTTGATTTTGCCATTTGTTAAGGGACTTTCCGCATTGAATTTTCCTTGGAGTTTGGTATTTTTGTTATTTTACTTTTTTCCTATATATATTAATTGGTTCACTTTATAATGAACATGTGTACTAAATTTAAATTTGATGTGACCACAAACTACCCTTTATCAAAACTTAAACCTGATACAGAACTTGAAGACAAATGGATTAATTAACAGACATACTAATGGACGGATGGACACACAGACTGGAAAACACAATTCCCTCTATTACTATTGTAGACAGGGCATAAAAATGCTATCCACAATACAGATGATTAATAATACATATCAATTCAAATCTAAAGAAGTTGCCATAACCAAATGAGTTCAGGAATCAAAATAACATTATATATAACAAAATCTGTCAATCAGAAAAATATAATTATACAATGCCTTTAGCTGCAAGTTCTTCTCTAACTCTGTTCATATAAGTAGAATCTGGATAGCCAAATCTGGAAAAAACAGAAATAACAAGATGTCACATGGTAAAGTTTGGTGCCATATATTGATGTGATGTGATTGATTTATTGTTACTTGTCAAATGTAACACTGTGACAATGTTAGCAATATTTATAATGTTTAACTTTAGTATACTGTTTTGCTGTTCTGCTTTATTGTATTTGTAATTGTAACTTTATATTGTCATATATGTATATGCACTTTGCCCCTTGAGGGTACCTCTTATGGAAATAAAAGATATTCTATTCTATTCAATTCATGCACAGTAAATCAAGATTGGTTGACTAACTGTTACTTGTTTAATGTCCAGTGGCACTATACATTTGTACATCAAGAAGCCTTGACTTGTATTTCTATTTGTTTAATGTCCAGTGGCACTATACATTTGTACATCAAGAAGCCTTGACTTGTATTTCTAATTGTTTAATGTTCAGTGGCACTTTACATTTGTACATCAAGAAGCCTTGACTTGTATTTCTATTTGTTTAATGTCCAGTGGCACTATACATTTGTACATCAAGAAGCCTTGACTTGTACTTCTAATTGTTTAATGTCCAGTGACACTATACATTTGTACATCAAGAAGCCTTGACTTGTATTTCTACTTGTTTAATGTCCAGTGGCACTATACATTTGTACATCAAGAAGCCTTGACTTGCATTTCTACTTGTTTAATGTCCAGTGGCACTATACATTTGTACATCAAGAAGCCTTGACTTGCATTTCTACTTGTTTAATGTCCAGTGGCACTATACATTTGTACATCAAGAAGCCTTGACTTGTATTTCTACTTGTTTAATGTCCAGTGGCACTATACATTTGTACATCAAGAGGACTAGCCTTGACTTGTATTTCTACTTGTTTAATGTCCAGTGTCACTATACATTTGTACATCAAGAAGCCTTGACTTAAAGTTGCTTTGAAAAATACTACATCAATGTGTTAGGGAGAGACAGATAGAAGGACAGAAAGAGGTAAAACAGTACATCCTCTCCTTTGTAGCAGATAAACAATGACACTGTGTAAATACTTAGGATGGCAGTTTTTTTTTGTGGAATTGAGTACTCTGTTCCAATAATAGTGAGCACTTGAATACTCAGATAATATGTGTTTTTTTTTTCTTTCTTTAGTTGCCTTTACATCAATTCAGTAATAAATCATGAGCAATACAAATAATAATCAAAATAAATAATCAGTTAAATAAACAATCAAGGTATTTACACAAGAAAGACGGTGAAATTTCAATCACTTCATACAATTCATCAGAGTCCTATAAAGTGTCTAGTGATCAGTTGTGTGAGCTCATCAGAGGGGGTTTATTTTTGTACTCTTGGAAGGAACAGATTTATCTGGTACTGCCAATTATCAGACATTATGCAATATGTGATCGTTTTGGACACACAGGGTATATTTAAAGGTTTTTTTTATTTAACAATAATTGAAATAGATCCAGACAGCCAAGTTTGGTGGGAGCATTTTTTACTTAAGTTTTATTATACTGATTTTCTTGCTGCTAACTTTAACAGTGGACCATTTTCATCTTACAATAAAAGGGAAAGTTCAAATGATAAAAACTCAGAAAATCAGGTACTTGATCTTCCTAGCGAGTACTCAAGTGCTTGATTACTCGTTGCCATCCCTAGTAAATACAGTTAAAAATTCTTTTTCATTAGTAAACAGTCCATTTCAATGAAAGTGCTTCTGAAGTATCTTGTGAGATGAATCGAGATAAGAGTTTTGCTTAAATTTAGTAAATTTTGTAATAATTGTGTTTTACAAGTTCATTGCCAACTTGATCCCAATGGGTACCCAACCTCATACTGTCTTTAATGACATAATAAATAGTCCTTTCATATTTGATTACTTTTACCTATTTTGTCCCAAATGTTATGAATGCTATCCCTTACTGTGTTAGTCCCTAATCTACAAACAACACTAGTTTGATGGTGGATATAACTTACTTGGTTGGTCCCCCATCCACATTGGTTGTATGGTGGATATAACTTACTTGGTTGGTCCTCCATCCACATTGGTTTTGTGGTGGATATCATTCCAGGTTAAAACATCTTCCTTCCCTGTTGTCCGTGATGCTCCAATGGTAAAGATCAATTTGTTATCAAATGCTCTCTTTAGAAGTTTGTAGACCTGCTTTCCCTCACTGTTATTTGGTAAATAAGCCGTCCTCTTTAAGGCTTTGTATCTTTTTCCTGGAGTTGGATGATTTCTCTAGAAAATTAAGAAGAAATTTTGATGTGTGAAGAAGTGTTGTCCATTAAAAAGTTGAATTTATGACAATGAATGAGGCATTCATACACATTGACAATTGAAAATGTAAAACAAATGTTGATGTGAGAAGAAGTGTTGCTCATTAAAAAGTTGAATTTATGGCAATGTATGAGGCATTCATTTACATTGAAAAAATGATATATACATCTATTTCCCTTGCAGTAGGGATATATGAGGATCATTCACTGTTGGAGAGTTTATTAGGGGTTCATAGTTCATTCATATTTCATCTTGATTTCATAATTACATTTTTATAAATAGCATAATTTTTTAAAGTATGATTTAATGTCCTAGTATGTTATTTAGGAGATATCTGTGAAGTGCTTTCATGTTTTGCAGGCTTTAAACAAAAAACTGTTGATGGCAATGTCATACAATGTATAAACATCTAGGAGAAACCAATACCTCACCAACTTACAGTGATTTTCTAAGGCAGCTTTATAGATAGATTGGAATGATATAAGTGTTACCAACTCTATTCAATTTCATAGTTTTAAACAAATGATGAAAATTTATTTTTTATATTGAGAAAACATCTGATGTCACCTTTTTACTGTCACTCATAAAATTCAACTCAGACTAATTTTAACATAAATTTTGTATATAGAGTGCTTGAGTGTTATTTAGAACCAGTTTCACTCAATCACCCTAATTTCCTTCACCATTTGACTTGTGTCTTGAAATAACTGTTTAAAAAGTGACAAATGTGATTCAAATATAAACCTTACCATTTGGACCCCTGCTGGAACATCATACTGAATAACAATGGCTCCATCACTATCCTCATAACCTGGTATCTTCAACAATCTGTCTATCTTATATGTCATTGACGCTAATGGCTGATCTCCCTTGACAATGCCATACAGAGTACCACAGGTTGGACAAACAGGTTTCCCATTGGCAAAATGTCTGTCAACACACTTCTGACAGAATGAATGTCCACATTTGTCCAGAGTTTTGGGATTTTTCATTCTCTCGTAACAGATAGGGCATTCTTCAATATGATTTTGATAAACTAGATGTGCTGGGAGACTAGCTGTTCCATCAAAATCTCCATTCATTCTTAAATCACTTGTTAACTTGTAATCACTGTTCTGTCCACTCTCATCGGTCCTTAACCTTGAGTCTTTGATTTTACTTGGTGCTGTCTTTGGTCTCAGTGAGGAGGGGTTTGTCAGAGTTTGTTTTAGAAGTGGAGACTTCCCAGACGATTTAGTACCAATACCAGATGTCTTACTATTGGTCGTTCTTGGGGAAGAAAACTTTGGCACAGCAGAAGAATTAACATTACTTGGATTATAACCTGATGTTTTGAATTCATGTCTGTCTGATTTAGATCTTGCAGAGTTCCGGTCCATTGATGAAGTTCGTCGTAAACTATTACCCTGGACAGGTAGGGTCTGAGGACCCCAATCGTCTGTATGAGAATAGTACCTTGGATTACTTATATCCACCTTCTTCTTCAGTTCTAAAAACTTGACCTTTGCTGTCTGTACGGCTATTGGTACTCCTCCTTCCAGAAGAGAATGTATAATAACAATTGTTGTAACCACAGCATCCTCATCATTGTTTACCATGTGAATTTCTCTCAAGTTTTGCCTCACATTGGACTTGTTCTTGTCATAATATAACAAAACTGCATCTAAAAAGCACTGAACTGAGGTATCCAAAGGGGCACCAAATATACCTGAAAATATACCAAAATGCATGTATTTAGTATGTAAAAAGGTACAAAATATACCTTAAGATACAATATTAAAATATACATCATGCAATAAAGTACCAGGAAAATTTTATATACACAGTATCCCTTTCTTTTGAATATTCTTGTTGTTGGGTTGCTGTTTCATTGACAAAAACCTGAAAATATACTAAAATGCATGTATTTAGCATACCTGCCAACTTTTCAAAATCGCCATGGGGGATTTAAAGTGCAAGAGGAACTAATGCTCCTCTTATATTGTCATAAGTGTTCTTAATCTACTACTATATTGTTTGAATGAGTATATATGTAGGACTCTAAAGTGCGATGGTACTCTAAAGTGCGATGGTCACGCTAAAGTGCGATGATCTACGCTAAAGTACGATGGTGAATCACGCTAAAGTGCGATGGTTGTTTGTTTGCTAAAGTACGGTGGTATATCAAGATAAAGTGCGATGGACCAATAGGGTAACGTTCGAGGGCTTAAAACGGTAAAGTACATGGATGTTAAAAAATAGTCTTTTTTCAAAAGCTAGTATGCTCAGGTATAACGTATGTGACAGGCTTTAATTTATAATTTACCGGTAGGCTTAAGTGATTGTTTCTAAATTTAGAAGACGGACCACGTAATAATTGCTAAAAAGGCAATTTAGATGTCACAAAATACTATATTTCCTGTAAATGATCTTTTAATAATTCGGGCGTATTAAACATGTTAAATTCTTGGATAATTGGTGTAGCTTGCCGTTCACACAGTCTATCAATAACCTGAACACCTCCCCTTACAGTCGTCTTTGTAAATTACAAATACAAAATTCGATCATTGTCGGAATATCAGTAACATTTATTTGTACAAGCTTTAATCTAAATGCGAGCGAAAGGCGAAATTCGCCGAGCTAGCTTTCTCCTTTTTCGTAGCGAGTACACATACATGTTTCATTTTCCTACAATGTACAAACTATGTTTTAGCCGACAGTTTATAATTTACGCTTGAAAACATGTACCTTTATTTTACCGATGTTACTTTTCAATAAAATCGACAATATCTTAACGGGGATCGCAAAGTAAACAGCAACGTATAAAACAAATCAAATGTATCCGTTCGCTTCCAATAGAAGCAGGATACAGGATACCTAAGCGTATACTATTTTGTATCTATATAGTAAAATGGTCAACTGCAGGACACAAGTCATTCTTCCAGCACTCGTAAAAAACAACACACATTTGCTTCAGCCGACAAAGCACAGTTAGGTTTAAATTAATTATTAATAAGTCATTGATATTTGGTTTAACTTAATTTATCTTCCGCCGTGTTCATTTTTAGTTTGTTTAAACGACTGTTAACGTCATAATCAAACTACGTTTCTTACGACTATACTTTCGCGGACCATCGGACTTTAGCGTATGGAGGCATCGCACTTTAGCGTATACCATCGCACTTTAGCGTGACCATCGCACTTTAGCGTCCCCATCGCACTTTAGAGTCCTACATATATATGCTTAAATACCCCTTAAACTCATTTGAATGCCTGTTTTGAGGTGTTAAGTTTATTAAATAAAGAATTTCAAAATTCAGGTCAACATCTCTAACACAGGCACTTGTCTCAGAAAAAAAGTTCCTATATACCTTAATATAACACAAGGTACTTAACTCCCATTTTTGAAAAATGTCACCCGGTCTCGAAATTCAGTTATATTTCGATTTCTCGGTTGTCAGTCCCATATAAACTTGTTATGTTGTAAATTTAAATTGATAACGGAATTTTGTGACCGTGTGATATTTTTCAAAAATGCGAGTTAAGTACCTTGTGTTATATTAAGGTATAATGGTTTATAGGATTTTTTATTCAGAGACAAGTGCCTGTGACCTCTCATGGGGTTATCCTCCATAAATCGGGATAGTTGGCAGGTCTGATTTAATATCAAAAAGGTACAAAATATACATTAAGATATAAAATTATACAGCATGCAATAAAGTAACAGGAAAATTTTATAAACACTGTATCCCTTTTTTTGGTTTATTTTTGTTGTTGGATTGCTGTTTCATTTAAATAAACCATGTATCTCCTTTTATTCATACTGAAAACATAATATATAAAAAATTACATGTTTAGGAACTACCAGAAATTATATTGGACAGATCTAGAACAACAGGTCACCTCTCTTATATATATATGGGAAGTTTTTATCTGGTCCCTATATATGGTGACCTTTCTATACATGTTTAGATGCTTTATGTATTATGCCCTTTTTTTATTGCACACTTTTACAGCAGCTTACAATACAATTGACATTTTTCTTTGTGTTCCATACTTACCTGAGCTTATACAAGGAACGCTGACAGATGATATCTTTAGTTTAGAATCAGCATACTCAAAACAATTCATGTAAGTCTGTATCAATTCATAAGTACATCTCTCTTGTCTTTGTTCCAACCAGATTGGGCCAACAGCATGTAGAATATGGCGGACCTTCAATCGACCTCCAGCACTTGTATGCATCACCTGTGATGTACCCATATTCCCATGATTTTTGATGAAGTCTTCACACTCTGTTTCTAGACGATAACCAGCAGCTTTAGAGATGGCGCCTGCAACCCCAGCACCATTATATAAACTCCCATTTGCTGCATTCACTAATCCATCTGTTTCAACTGCAGTTATGTTTTGGAGCGTCACAACAACTTTAAGATTTCCTACAGTAAATTCTTGGTAAGAGGATAGAGAAAAATCAGTAGAAAACAGAGACTGGTTCCCTGTTGGTTTCTCCTCAGGAAAACTTCTCTGTGGACTGGTAGTGGAGAATTCTCTGAATGTGTCATTGGCCTGTCGAGACCTTTCACTATCAGATGACCCTTTAGAACTTTTGAAAATCTTCTGAACTTCATCTTCATCTGTGTCATCAGATATGTCACCGATGTTGGTTATATGAATTTTTGGCTCAGTAACTTGATATGTCTCACTACCAAGTACAGTTATTGAATCTGAGGGATGTACATTTATGTAGTCAGGATTTGAACTCAATGACTTCAGGTGATGTGACTGTGTTCTATCACTCCTTTTCAATGTACCAGATAAATCAGGTTCTAACTGGTCAAAACAGGATAATTTTGGAATTGTACTATCATTATCTGTTTGGTTTGGCTGAGTAATGGTGCCAGTCTTTGGTCTTACCTCAGGATCTGTATGATTGGAGTCATAATGTGACGATGAATAACTTGGCACATTGTCAACTTCCTTTAACACTGATCCCTTCTTGTGGGATGAAATTGGTCTCCTATTTGCAGATTCCTCTACAAATCTAGCTGTAGACCGTTTCTGATAACCATGTGATGTATAAGGGTCAGAATCAAGGTTACTAAAAGGAATTTCTTGGGACACATTTCTTGCTGTTTTCCCAGGTGTCCTTTCTCTAAACTTGTGTGACAGAGAATCATGACTTACTGTAAAACTAGACTCTCTAGCATCATTATCTTCATCTGTCCTTGATTTTGACCTTTCTCTGTCTCCATCCTTAGATTCTTGCCTTTGGTAAATTTTTGAATGGATTTTACGTTGTGTTTTGAGAGAATGGTTAATAGCATTCCATGCCAGTTCAATCTGAAAAATGTTTCCAATCAACTCTATACAGTGATCTTCTGGGTTTTCTTCCAATTGTACCTCAATGACATATTCTAAACGATCTTTGATTCTATTGGATACTGCTACTAAAGATGATATTTCTGGATTGAGTTTGGCTGATATTTCTGAGAATATCTGTAAAATTATATCAAATGTCTTAATTCTACCTTGCTATTCCATAACATAATTTTGGTTAGGTGGGAGGTTAAGAACTGACAATGAGAATCACTTATATCATTTACCCATGTCCTATGTTGAAAACTTGTCTGAAAATGTGTTGATATTTTGTCCTGTAGTGGATTATTAGAAAATTAAGAATCATACTACAGCCACTTATTTTAATACCAAACAAATTTAAATTCTTTATGTTATTCACACTTGATTTGAGATTTTAGCATTTGATCCATGTATGAAACAATGTGACTTTTAAATGCAGAACAGCAATCAAAGTGATGTTCCTTAGCTTTGGGTTTTGTCAACTGCTTTAAAGGGATTTTGTGTCATAAATAAATACATTTTATCCATTCCTTTCAGCTACATATAAAATATTTACCATTGGATCTGTTCTGACAACATGTACATCATGCCCATCAATGTTGTGATCTCTGGATAGAAGTAAGTCAACAACTGAAATGTGTTAAAATATGTCATTTACATGTAGACTGACAAAGACAAATAAAATGGCATTACATACATGTATTTTTCTTAACTGGCTTTACATTCATGTAGTTTTCTAAACTAGCATTACATACATGTATTTTTCTGAACTGGCATTACATACATGTATTTTTCTTAACTGGCATTACAAATATGTATTTTTCTGAACTGGCATTACATACATGTATTTTTCTTAACTGGCATTACATACATGTACATGTATTTCCCTTAACTGGCATTACATACATGTATTTTTTTTTAACTGCTGGTATTACATCATTGTACATACATGTAATTTTCTTAACTAGCATTACATACATGTACAATGTAATTTTCTAAACTGGCATTACATACATATAGTTTTCTTAAGGATGTACTTAGGTGAATCTAGAATTTAAAATTGATATAATAAATCAGACAGGTTATGGAGATCCTTTTCGAGATATCTAATTTTAAAAAAATGGGGGGAAAAGGCTAACTCAGACTTTTACCTTATATTTGCATTGGTATTATTTGGGTCTCAAATCGAAAGAAAAGAAATCTAGGATCTGCTTAAAATTTGGTAAATAACCTTTTATGAGCTATTGAAGTCTTATATGAAAAGAAAAATGGGTGTTATGGGGCAAAATATTTTACCCTGTATCGTAGGCAAAAAAACCAAGGAGTCCAAACATTTAACAAACATTCCTAAACCTGACCTAAGTACATCCTTAACTGGCATTACATAAATGCATTTTTCTTAACTGACATACATGTATCATACATGTACTTTTCTTAACTGGCATAACATACAAGTACTTTTCTTAACTGGCATACCATACATGTACTTTTCTTAACTGACATAACATAAATGTAGTTTTCTTAAATGACATAACATATATGTAGTTTTCTTAACTGGCATCACATACATGTAGTTTTCTTAACTGGCATACCATACATGTAGTTTTCTTAACTGACATAACATACATGTAGTATTCTAAACTGACATCACATACATGTAGTTTTCTTAACTGGCATACCATACATGTAGTTTTCTTAACTGACATAACATACATGTAGTATTCTAAACTGACATCACATACATGTAATTTTAAAACACAGTGAGGAAATAATAGAACATAAATGCAACAACAAAATCTTTAATTTGCAAGAAAAGAGTAATTTTGACATCAATTAATTAGTGCAAGGGCCTTTGGTCCTAAAATGCAATTACAAACAAAATATATATTCAGTGAAATATATCAACTGTACAAACAGAAAAATTATTGATTTACATGCAGGTTCACAAAATCATTCCACTTTTACTTTTCAAAAGACCAGTTGAAAATATTTGTTATTCAAAATAATTCCAAAGTTTTGTTAAATTGTTGAGCCTCATCAATGTCATATATGATCATGTCAACTAAAAGGTTTACATATATATGTATAATCCCATTTCATTGTTTTCACCAGTAAGATTATCCTACAGAAGCAAAATATATCTGTATTGTTTAGTACATATTATTGAAATTATAAGTGATAAAGGTTTTATTTTTAGGTGTAAACTGAGTCAACCCAATCACAATCTGAATAAAGACCTTTACTATTGTGTAAAATTGGCCTTCACCACAACCTTGAGGAGTGTATTCAATTATGAGTGAGTATGCCAAGTTTACACATTAATAAAGTTCTTCAATATAACCTTTTATTACATGTATAAACCTTTTAATTTGGGTATATTACTCATTTGCTTATAATTTTCAAAAAATTGTATATGAATTTCCTCCTTCTAAAGATATGTAGTAACAGAAGGTAATCATGGTCATAGATCAAATCAGTTTAAAACAAAGTACCTTCTTGATCTCGGAAAAATATGACTGCATCATTGTTGAGTAAAGGGAAGTAAATCTTGTCTATTTTTCCACCAGCATGTTTTGTGTTGCTAAAGTATATCTTCAGATCTTCGCCATCCAGGTCACGAGAAATCTGTGAAACTCTTACTCCTGCCATGGCACATTATTCATCTATATCATAGCATGTCAAAGCTGAAAAAAAAAGTATGTATAGTATCATACAAGACTGTTTTTTTTCTCATTTTTAAGGCAAAACAGTTGATTTAATGAGATTTTTTTCAGTTTTGAGATGGGTATGTGCAGTTCAGTTTAGTCAAATGATAATTATTTTTGGTCAGTTTTGAGGTAGGAAAGTTCAGTTTAAGTTATATATAATTAGAATGAGACTTTTCTGTGTTGTATTTAGTCGAAATAAAAAAATAATGCAAGTTTTCTTGTCTATCTAATACATAACTGTCTTTTGATGGTTATACAACCATTAACACCTTCATTTTTTTTATATAAAGACATCAACTCTGCCTAACCAAATAATTTGAGATTAATATTAAGGAAAAATAAATTGCTTCGCCAAGTGCAGCTGAATACGACCGCAGAGGTCCAACCCTGAACAGTTGGGGCAAAAATGGACACAATATTCGCGCTTGATACAGGTCTGAATTTGGATTGTAATTAAATATTTGACACATGATAGGTTTCTGACACAGAATAACTGTAGTCAAAGAACTTAGAATTGGTTATATGATTTGAATTTATATTCCATACACCGTTCCACAAGTTATTGTCTGGAAACTAGAAAAATGTCTAAGTAATAATGCTGAGCTATTGTTAACCAATAGAGATATTTTTTCATCAGTGGTAATGTTATGCTGTATTTTAAATATAACATTTATTTTATTTTCTAATATTTCTGGTTTTGAGGTAAATCTATTACATTGTAATAAGAAATGTTGTTCATCTTCAATTTCCCCATTTTTACAGACAGAACAGTATCTTTCCTCTCTAAGAATGTTAAGATGTCTTCCCCTTTCAATCATTAAAGAATGTGCACTTATGCGTATTTTGCATATTGCTGCTCTATCATTCAAATTGTTTAGTGAATCAACATATGATGGTCTTTGACCCATTTTGTAGACTTGACGAAAGAAACTGAGTTTAGAAGATTCCTGTATGTTTGTATTTTTATTTTGCAAGCACTGATCATAAATTCTTTGTTTTACTTGTCCCAAGTGCTGCTTTGTTAAACAACTTTTTTCTACAAGATATGAATATCCTAATTTTTGTAAACTGCATTTGGTTTTTTTTATCCAGGGGTTTGAAAACCTTGTTGCACAGAAAATTTGATTTACAAGTGTATTTTCTGATGAAAGTATATGCTCTGAAAAATTTATGCTTGAAAATACAATTTTACTTTTGAGTGGAATTCAACCAAGCTCAGCACGACAAGCATCATTTGAAGCCTTGCAATGAACACCAAGTGCTTCTTTGATAAATTTAATGTGTAGTTTTTCAAAGGGTTCAGAGTCCCTTAAGGATGAGTCAACGCCCCAAATTTCACAACAGTACATAAGTATAGGTGATATTAATGTATCAAACAATTTTTCAAGTAGTCTACATGGATTATTCAGACCAACAGTTTTCTTTATTTTGAAATAGGCTTTAATTTTCTTGCCTTTTCCATAAGAGTATTAATGGCTAAATTGAAATTACCATTACATTTTATTACAATACCTAAATAAGAATAATGACTCACAGTTTCAATTCAAGAATCATTATAAGTAAATTCGTCCAAAAAAGTTTTACCATTTGAATTAAATACAATAACTTTGGACTTATCTGTGTTAACTTGTAGTTCAACAGTCACAATAATCATATAAAGCATTAAGACTGGTTTGTAGTCCTTTTTTACTTTGAGACAATAAAACAATATCATCTGCATATAGAAGAATATTTAAAGAAAAGTCCCCAATTCATACATGTGATGGACTGTGAAACTCAGATCAGGAGATTGGGATATTTTGGTCAGGAGATTAGGACTCAGATCAGGTTTTTAATCGACATAAATTTTGTCGAAAATGTAACTGTGTGCTGTAGAAATCGTCTTTTAAAGTGTTTTTTCTTCAACTTTCCATCCGAATGTATTATGTTTATAGTACCCTTGTACTTATAAATTTTCTCTATCTTTATTCAACAAGTTCAATCTAACATTCTTTTTTTTGTAGAATGTTCTTTAAATTCTTAATTTTATATCTTTTTTATCATTATTCTTTGGAACAATCACTGCGTTCAGAACATTTGTTTATCTGTAAATAGATCTTTTTTGCATGTTAAGAAACACATTCAAACCTCAAAAGGTCATAGTTATTATATAAATTTCAATTTAAGCCTTAAAAGGAAGTATAGAACCCTCAAATAATTGTCAAATTATTATTTTTCTATTTGTCCTAAGACATTTTAAATCATTTAATTACCATCCTTTTATGATTATTTGTTCAATTTATATTTTATTTATATTTTTTTTTAAATTTACATAATTTAAAGGAAAATAACTTAAAACAGGATAAATCAAGGGAAGTAACCCAAAATTCATTTCAATTATTTTTAAATACACAAAGTTTTTATTACACAACGGCAGTTAGCCTGAGGTAAAAATCGTTGATGACCAGTATGTTTGACACCCAAGCTGACAAGTGAAGCCATATAATTATGCATGTTAATTGATTTACAGGTAAAATATAACTTCAGGTAATGTCAGTTACACCAGATATGTTGGGCTGGAATTTTTCATTCATGAAATATTTCATACACGGGATTTTTCTCTCTTCAATGGGAGATCGGGAGGAGACCCCTGAAAACGGGATTATTGTACTCCTGTCGGGAGGTTCACATGTATGCTAATTACAACTGGATCAGAATTACAATTGATTAAAGCATTAGTGAGGTCATAATATATTAATTAAGAAGTACAGGGCTCAGTACATCTCCTTGTTTTACTCCTCGCTCAGATAAAAATGCTGAACTAAGTCCATTTGAGAACTTGATTCTACATACTGAGTCAGTATACATTGAATAAACAATTCTAAAAATTCTATTTGGAATATCATGTATCAAAAGTTTATAAAACAATCACAATGAAAATTACAAACATCACATAGAAGATATTCAACATTTGTTAGGGGTCTTTATTAAAGATACTGGAAGGTTCACAAAATAGACAGTTAAGGTTTTATAAGGGTTAATTATTTATTCACTTTTTTTTTTTTTTTTTTTTTTTTAATTATTTATTTATTTATTTTTCTCTGCAGTGCCACATCATAAATACAAATGTACTAATGAGTTTTATACAATAGTGACATAAAATTACCAGAGTGATTGAAAATACAGAGAGATTATAGTGTCAAGTTGACACTTCTAAAGACTAAAGACTCCTACATGTATTCGCCAAACTATATCAAAGGCTTTTTAAAGATCGATGAAAGCTGCAAATACCTTTTTATTTTGTTGTTTATAATGATCAATTACTGATATATAGTGCAACTATTTTCTTTAAAACCAATCTGATTTTTGTTAAGTTTTTACTATACACCTTATCGCTATTTAGTCCAATCCGGAAAAAACAGTCATTTAGACAACTTCCTGTTTGGGTCAACAGGCCGCAAACAAAGGTCATTAGTAACGAGCTGAGGGAGGGAAAAATTTAGAAAGCGATCAATAGGAAACTTTGATAGATTATGATCCACTTTTTCCAAACTCAAATTATAGTCAAAAAAATATTGTGTTTGAAGTATTTACGATGTTTTAAACAGGTCTCATTAAAAAGTATCATGCATGGTGCATTGTTTAAACAGGGTCCCAGATAGCTTCAACTGGATGAAAAAGTTGTGTAATTTTAGAACTTATCCGGAATGGAATAAATAGCGATTAGGTGTATTTATACAGTCATATACATGTACATGTATATAATCTCTGTTTGGTTACACTCAGGTGTAAACAATCACATGATATACATGTTTCTTTTATTTGACCTTTAAAAATCACTCTATTGTATTATTTAAGAGTCTTTCTAGGCAGAGATCTTGAAAAAAAAAATTTCCTGGTCGTCCTAGAAAAAAAAAATCTGCTGATCCTCACTATTATTTCTATTGCAAAATACCAAAATTGTGACAGTCCTTCAAAAATTTTGATGGTCAAAACCTTCGGACCACCACTTTTCAAGAACTCTGTCTAGGAACAAATCTTAAGGGGCTTTATCTTCATGTTGCAGGAAATTTTTTTTATAAAGAGGGAATAAATATCATGTAACTTTAGTTCTCAGGAACTTTTGTAATATACTAATTTATTCCATGTGGAACATGTATTATGCGGAACAAATATACAGTCATAGCTTTACCATTTCAATTTGCATTGAAGATATTAACTTGTTTTCACATTGTGATTAATTTTGTAGAACTTTCTGTGGTTTGCATAGTTTCAGTTTCTATACTAAAGTGATACTTTAAATTCTCTCAAAACATTGAAGGTTATTTTTTAATTTTAACTTCAATTTATATGTCTAATTATTTGAAATGACTATATTTAAATCTTTTATCTTATGGATTTTCTTGTCAACAATGGGTAATATACTTAATCGTCCTCTGCATTACAATTTTGTAAATGAACACTTTACTGCAATTAAGAATACTACTCCCATCATGCACCATTAAAAATGTCAACATAAAGAAGTTTCATTTGCATTGTCTTTAAAAATCAATGATATTAATTAACTTCATTCACGTAAATTAGTACAGATATTTTGCATAGCAGGTAAAAGATCCACTTCTTTATGTTTTTGACAATCGTTAATAATTTGAAAGTCCATATAACGCAAAAAATGTGCAATACTGAAGAGCACCTGGCAGCGACATGGTTATGAGATTAGGGAATGGTCATTATTTATCAGCTGAGGGGGTCGGTTCAAATTTTTCACATTAAAAGGTTTTGTTGGCAACCCCCCCATGATTCTTATGAACCACATAATGACCCCCCCCCCCTGAGAACATAGTTTCAAAAGTTTGACCCCCTCCCCCCTACCAAACAAAAATCTCTATCGATTAACAGTTGGGAGAAGATGATGACTGCAAGCTACAATTTAAAAAGTTGCAGGAATTGACTTGAAAAATAGCTATGAGAAGTATGTGGACATTGACACTATCCGTAACAGAATACGACATAAAGGGGTTTTCCTTGATTGCAGTACTCATTTTCTTTGATTTTGAACTGATATTTCATAATACATTCTACACTATAATTCTACACTATAATTCTGTTATTTTATATAACATGTATAAGTAGCTTGAACTAATTAATTTGATAAAGATAATTTACTTTGTCTGGTTAGCAGTCATTAGTAAGTGATATTCTGTAAATATTATAATGCCTTGATGTTTCATCATGACCTTCCATATTCTTTATTTTGAAGCTGATGCAACTGATTTTAGAAAACATTTTTCAGTTGTATTCTTCTTTGAGAAAACCCTGAGTATACTATAGAGTTTTTCTTCTTTTGTTTTTTTCTTTCTTTCGAATATGAATAGCTGACACATGCAAGAAGAAAAATTGACAAAATAAGCATTTAAATGAAAACAAATATATATTGCTTTTTGACTTGAACCTTTATGAACAGAATGAAGTCATACCTTAATACAGATTGTCCCTGATTTTGAAACTGCTAATTCTTAAAACGTTAAGCTTTTAAAGGCACAATTAGCCAAATTTGTTTATATACATGAGCATGTGCTATTATAAATGAATGGAATGACGTAAAAAGAAAAAAAAACAGAAAATTCTTTGTTCCAATTTATTTGAATGCAACCTATAATTCTACAATATTATATATAACCTTTCAATAATGAATTTCCCTCTGTTATGAATTCGAATAAATTTAAATTTACTGTCTGACACAGAATTATTTGTGAATGAAAAAACATTAAAAAAAAAAAAGAGAAAACATGGCTAAATTCTTTTAATGTCTTTATTAAAATTTTGAAGTTTTGTAAATGTTTTTTGGATTTTAATTTTCTCATCATATAGTTATTTTTTTATTTCAATCCCACATTTGGAAGTGCAACTGAAAATAACACATTACAAATATTACTATAATTGTATGGTTCTAGTCCTTCCTGGATCAAATATGTACATGATTTATTTGCGATAAAGAAATATATATATGTAGGTTAATAACTATATGAACATTCAATATTTTATTTCAATGTGAAAATGTTTTACGAAATCCGATGTGTATTGTTTTGTGTGTGTGAATGCCATGCTGCCCAACAAGGTCCCTCGATTTGAACATTAAAAATTCTTTTTATTATTCGATATCTTTGAAATAATTTCATAAAATAATTACACATATTTACAAATGATTTTAGAACGTACACACCTTTTACAGTCCTATATCTATCCTAAGAAATCGCATCAAAATGATTTGAACACTTCAGAAAGTTGTAATACACATGTTCAGAAACTTTTAAAACTCATTGTTTCCTGTGGTCAAAACTAGAGACAAATGTTTTATACAGTTGTTAATCTTGAGATAAGTCGGATTGTAAACTTTCACATCCTTCTTGTCCTATGGATAATCATGGAACTATTATATTGAATATAATAGTTCCATGGGACAATGAACCATAACAGATGACTGTGATAAGGAGTCACCAGATTCACTACCCTTGAGAAATTAGGCAGCCTTCTATTACTCACTGTACATGACCAAAGATTTAATAATGACAGAAATTATTTAAAAGATTGCACACTCACTTCAATATTGTCAACAATTTATATGCTTATCAGACATAAAAACTTTCATTGTGTGACCCCCCCCAGTCAAATAAAATTTTTGATGGCAACCCCCCCAGCTGTATGATATTTTTGGTAGTGACCCCCCCTAAAATGAACCAACCCCCTCAGCTGATAAATAATGACTTTTCCCTTATCTCTAAATAAATATTCCATATATATCTAAATGTAGTTTCAGGAAAGTAAGGGATGCAATCACAGAGAATCAGTAACAAACACACATTAACATTTGTCATGGGCTTTGTAACATCTCCTCATTAGCTCAGCTGGATTCTAGAATTTTGTTTGTTTGTGTTTTTCTTTTTTACCTACAAATTACAATACACCTTATCGCTTATAACATGTTGTTATTAATGTTATGCTCTTAATGGGCCCTTTAGTTTGGAAAAATAAAAATATTGTATTGTATTGTATTCCCGGCTGACCCGCGAATCTGTCCCGCTTGAACTATTGACGTTATACAACAATAACTTTTCCATTGTGGCATCAGATATTTTGTATTATGGCGTCAAAATTTTATGGGAACCTGTGTGATGTCCAGTAATCAATGGTAATGGCGGACAAAAAGTGATAAGGTGTATGTAGGCTAGGTATATATACATTTTTGTAAACTGGTGCACATTTTATATGTGCTATAATAGATCATAATACACCCGTCACCCTCTTTCATATTTTAATGTACAAGTTCTTGATTTATTACCATCATAACGGTTAACCCAGAACATGCAGGAGAATTCAGATGAATATCTGTTTATAAAAGTAATATGAACAGTCAGGGGAATTACTGAATTACTGAAACAAGTGATTTATTAATCACTCATTTAAGTAGCAAACTAGAAATTCTGTGATTTTGTAGTTTTACCAAAATTTTTAACATACAGTTTTAGATTATATCTAATTATTAATAAAATTGAAAAAAATTATTCTTTTGCGTCTTTCAAGTAGCAAGGTTTTTGCTTTTGATGCAATCGTTCATCTGAAAATTCCATATTTGTGGAAAAAAATGCTATAATGAAGCTTTACATAATGATTTTATACATTCAAAAGATTTTTCCCAGCAGTGGGAGTATTTTTCCTGTAAAATTCAAGGTTTCATTTTACAGATTATGTAATAAAAATTTACTGTTCGCGACCAAAATTTCTCTGTTCAGGGTGTTGTAATTAGTGGGAGTAATTAAAATAATAACACATAAAGAAGTGATTTTTTTTTTAAGAAATTAGAGTATGATACTCAAACAAGTGATTTTCAAGTAATCCCAGATTCAGTACAAGGTCATCACCTGACATGACCGGTCATCTTTTAAACACAGATGTTCAGAGTTGGTTCTGATAATTTAGCAACATAATTAGTCCCTGGATCATTAGTATTGTATATTTAAAGCTACAATAAAATTAAATCACTTAGTATACATGGTATAGTGATTTATTTGTACTACTTAAATAGGTGATTATTAAAGAAAGACAACTCTTACTTCCAACATTTCTGGGAAAATGTTACTTGAATCAGTGATTTCTTCATCACTCATTTAAGTAATTCCCCTGACTGATGAAGCTACATATTTATTACCTGAAAGAGGACGCAGTGTGCATTTTTTTCATGAAACTATTTGGTAATCAGATAAATACAAATTTGCATGAAATAGTATGGTGTTACATAATATTATGGTGTATACATGCAGCCTTCATGATTAAGTTTTGAGTCCACAAGCCTGAAGCTCAATTTTTGGAAAATTTCAGTTGGATTCTGTTGGCTTGTAAGGAAGAATTTTACAAGTCTGAAAGCAATTTTGCAAGCAAATGCTGTAGGACTTGTGGTTAAGCTTGAAGAGTGTACATGTACATCTGTACATGACATTGAACGTAGTCTCAAGTCTTAATAACACCTTTTTCACAGTCATGTCAAATCGGACAGTGGCCCAAACTTTTCTGAATGTCAAAAATATCTTAATAATTATGATTATACATGAACTTTTAAAAATACAACAGAACCATCTTTTTGTTTATTTGATATCCTTGCTTGAATTTATCAACTTTTCCTAATCATCATTAGTGGGTGTTGTAATTGTATTCATAATTTCATATCCTCCCATCTTTTTTCAAAATATATATTTTTCAAGTCTTTTTAGCAGTGTTCAGTTCAGTTTTTTTCAATTCATGTTCTGGTCCAAGTTTTGCCACCTAAAGAAAATATTTTTCTATTTGCTATTTTGCCATTTGTCTTTTTTGTCACTTATTTCATTATATTTTTCCTGCCACTTTATTCATTTTAAAAAACTTTGAAAATGTCAGGATACATTTTAAAGTTTTTACTAAGAGTGCAAGCTGAGCACAACAGGCAACACCTTTAGAGTTAGGAAAGCACTATTTCTATTATGGATATAACACAAAATACTTAGTGATTTCTTTTTATATGTTTAAATTAATGTTAAAAAAATTTTAAATATACATTTGTCAATGCAATTGCATGTTGAAATTTAAAATAGATTTGTTATTGACACATCATCACAAGTAACCGTTTGTGCTGGAATAAATGTGACTTTCATTCTTGTCCTGTAAGGTTCTTAAAATATGAAAATAATCAACAACTTAAATGTTTCTTTGGAATTGAAAGTCTTCCATTTTCACATTGATTTTCTTTCATTGTTTTCAATAACTGAAAAGTTGAATTTAAGCACAATATTAATTTTCATATTCTTCATTGATCAGTAATTGATCTGCTTTCATTGTTCATGTATAATGGATATTGCTTCATACATGTACATCTTAGATTCATTAAGTAACTTTTCAAAATTACATGTGTATTTTTTGCAGATCATTGAAAAAAAAAAGAAAAAGTGTCACTAAAAATCATAAGAGAAAGGTTAACAGATTCCACAACCAAATCTTGTGCAATGCAAAATTTCTCCACTCTTTCATTATTACACTCAATGTAGTGGTAGGGGCCTCGGTGACTGAGTGGTCTTAGTAGTTCATCTACTGTATCACTAGCCTGTCAACACTGAGGTTGTGAGTTTGAAACTGGCAAGTGACAGGTGTGTTTGACTCCCATCTTTATTGTCTAGATTGTCAGTTTTCCAGCTGATGGTGGATGGTTCTCTCAGGACACTCCACCTTCCTCAACATAAAAAAAAAAATGACGGCTTCGATATACATGTACATGCGTAACGTAGCCAAAAGTGCTGAAAGTGGTGTTTATCAACATCAATCAATGAAATGGTAGAATCTAGAAATATATACATGTTAATTCCATATTGATAGAACTTTACTGTAGTAGGTTTTCCTATATGAATTGGATTTTGAATAAAACAGCATATTCACCTGCAGAAAAAGTATATTCACCATGTAAAACGTCGCATGCTTTTTGTCTCGCCTTGATGGAGTCAAAATGTGAGACATAGGTATGCTGTTTCCGGCGGCGGCAGCGGCGTCAACAATGTATTAGTTTGTGATTAGGTCTAGTTCATGGTGAACCACTAGTGGTAGGTCAATGATATTTGGTATGCAGTTGTATTAGCATTGGCACATCTCATTACCATGGAGATTATTTGGCCCCACCCCCTAAGTCAAGGTCTATTGACTTTGAAACTTTGCTTAGTTTACATGTATTAGTTTGTGATCAGGTCAGTTTATGGGGAACCACTAGTAGTAGGTCAATGATATTTGGTATGCAGTTGTATAAGCATTGGCATATCTCATTTCCATGGAGATTATTTTTCCTCGCCCCCTCAGTCATGGTCTATTGACTTTAAAACTTTTGCTTAGTTTACATGTATTAGTTTGTGATTAGGTCAGTTTAAGGGGAACCGTTGGTGGTAGGTCAATGATAATTGGTATGCAGTTGAAGAAGCATTAGCACATCTTATTTCCATGGAGAATATTTGGTACTTACTTCTTAGTCATGGTCTATTGACTGAAACTTTTACTTAGTTTACATGTATTAGTTTGTGATTAGGTCAGTTTAAGGGGAACCGTTGGTGGTAGGTCAATGATAATTGGTATGCAGTTGAAGAAGCATTAGCACATCTTATTTCCATGGAGAATATTTGGTACTTACTTCTTAGTCATGGTCTATTGACTGAAACTTTTACTTAGTTTACATGTATTAGTTTGTGATTAGGTCAGTTTAAGATGAACCACTAATGTTAAGTCAATGATATTCGGTATGCAAATGTATTGGCATTTGCACGTTTCATTTCCATGGAGATTATATAACCCCACCCTCTAATTATGGTTCATTGACTTTGAAACTTTTACATAGTTTACAAGTTAATGTTTGTGTTTAGGTTTGTTTAAAGGGAACGACTTATGAAAAGTCAATGGTATTTGGTTTGCAGTTGTACATGTATTAGCATTGGCACATCTCATTTCCATGGAGACTGTTTAGCCCTGTACATTCAGTCATGGTTCATTGACTTTGAATATTTGCATAACTTACATGTTAAAGTATTGTAATTTTAATTTCAACATTTGCATTATCAAAATAACAAATAGGCTAGACATATCTCTGTGTTAACAGTTTATTCTTGTATAATTATCAAGATTCAAGATAAAATTGATTGATGTACAATTGGTTTTGGTAAATAATTGTCATTACATACATTTTCTCTCTCGAAAGACAATAAAAGGATTATTGTCTTTTGATTCGGTAAATATGTGGTTTAATTTTACTTTTGAAAAACTGATATTCGAAAGTCATATATATACCACACATTTACCTTATCAAAATACAGTAATTGTATAATATTTAGTTATTTTAAATATTTCTGATATAAGCTACTTTTATACAAATGTAAGTAGTCAGTAACTCATAATAAGAAAATTGAACTTATTTATTATTATATAACCCAAAGCAGATTACATACATGTATGCCTGAGGCTGTCATATACATGTAAATTATAATTATGAATGATTTTACAGATTTATAAAATAACTTATAGAAGAAACATTTCTATGATTATTTTTTAGGTTACCTCTCATCTGTATACGCCATTCAATTTTAATTAATTCTTAATCATATACATGATATATGTCAATTGTCATTAAATGATATAAAAATTTGCAAAATCTTGCATGTAATCCATGCTTCTTTTCTGATTCAAAATAATTGTAAGTAATCTCTCTCATAAAATTACCTATATAGATATGTGTCATTTAACATAACTATATAATTATTTGTTGAAGGAATGCCCTTGCTTTAGGCCACACAGACCACTAGGCCAGTTACTTAAACTATCCCTTTACCAAACTTTAACTGTAAACCATTCTTAACTTAATACCAAACTAACCCCTAAACAAGAGTGTCAGCTGGCTGACTTAACTTATTACCAAACTAACCCCTAAACAAGAGTATCAGGTGGCTGACACTGATCAATAGCTTATCCAAGAAAATTATTTCAACATTTAAGAAAACAGTCAAGTCTCTAGCATACCCATGTCAATTTCTTTTTTTTTTATTTTCCTCCTCACCTTTTCACTTTATAGGCTGTGCTATCTAGTCTATAAGGCGTAATTCTGCCATTGTTTTTTCCCATATTAGTCTGTTAAGTTGGCATCTTTCAAAAAATTGTACAGAATTCATCTTTGGCTCAAATAAATAAATACTTGGCATGTACAAAGTTCAATCCTGTCTGGTACTACAGCGAAAATTTTACATAACATTTCATTGCATATACAGTTTAGATAATAACCATCAACAGAAGTAGACCAACAAATTTTCACCCCTTTTTTTCCTGTTTACTACATGTAGCTTAAGTAACCATGTCACAAAAATAAAAATTTATAGAAACACCAAATAAAAAAAGAATGGTGCTTTAAAACATCCAAGATATATGTTTATGACTCAGATTTTTTTTTCTGCAATGAAATTCAGGGTTAATTTCCTACGGCTGTCAAATTCAAGGGAATATTTATTTTTACGCTTTTTCGTATGAAACCCAATGTGATGTACCATGTTTTAGGGGTATTACACCATAACATTTGGATAATGGAAAATCCATTAAAACATTTGTTTATATCAAAAGGGACATAATTCCAACAGTCTTGTCTGAAGATAAAGCATTGTACTGGTTATAAAAAGGGGGCAGGGTGCTATAAAATACATGTACATGTAAAAGGGCATGGCTACTTAAATATCTACAAAATATGGCAATGCATCTAGAAAATGCCAAATCTTCCTCATGGAAATTTTCCATGTGTCTGAGAAGTAATTAATTTTCAGGGGAGCTTTGCATGAAAACTGACTGATTAAAAGAAAATGAATGAACATCTTCAGCAAGAACAAGGTACATGTATCTAAGTACACCTGATTTTAAACCAATTGTGTATGAACAATATATGTTGAAATTATTTCTAAAAGAGATGAAATAAACTTAATGCAAGTTTGTATTTTCTTTCAGGACATCTGCAATTTAGCCATACTGGACAGAGGTCAATTTATCAATCCCAGGATGCCTTCAGGGCAGCCTATGCAGCACCCTATGGACCGTCCAGATCATGGAATGGCGTAAGTTGATATTTGAAACTTCTATTCATAATTGGTAGTTCTTTTTTTCATGGCAGTTGTTAAGTATTTGTATTTTATAATAATGTAATAGTTAAAATTGACATAACGATAATCAGATAAATATATAGTTATACAAAAATGTGTGGTCCTGATGCATTGGGCCTTATTCTAGTAAAGGCAATAGTAAATCTTTAAGAATGGGGACCTAAATACATGAAATAAATGCATGGTGGTACATTTTTTGTACCAATATATATGCATAATATTCTTTCTGAGAAGTTTGTTGCCTTTGGACATAGAAATTGCTTTAAATGATATCGAATCGATTGATTCAGGCATTATTTAAAAGTGATCATTCCTCACTTTTAAATAATGCCTGAATCAATGGATTAGATATTTGATATACATTTATAGTCATATCAAAAGAAGTTATAGTTTGAGTTTGAGAATCCTTCAATTCCTTTTAAGTGATTCCTGCAGAAGTTCTTTTGACCATTGGACACAGAAAATTGAAAAAAAAAACAGTTACCCACACTTATTATTTTATGCCTGAGTATATATATATACATGTATATACCTTCCAAATACCATTTCGATTCCTAACATCACTGAAGAGACATTTATTGTCGAAATCCGGATATGATGTACAAATTTTTGCACCTTTGGTTTGCGGTATACCATCTTTTCCGCAAGTTTATTGTTTTCTGTTTGATATTAAATTAATATTTAAGATCCATTTTGTTACATCTGGTGATAATTTTATTTGGCGAATCGCCAATGGCAGTCAGCAGGGTTTAAGAACATCCGTTGTTCGACCTGCTAGTCAAATGGGTTTTGTTAAAATATACTTTGTCACTTTTTTGGTCTTTTGGAAAATGTTGTTAGTGCTGTATTTAGACCCCTTTACCAAGAAATTTGTTTTGCATGCACATGTATGAAAATTGCAGGTTTGAACGTTGTTTTCAATTAAGACTTGTTTATATATATATATATGTATACATATTGAAAATTCAAATGAACAATCCCCAATAAAATTAACTTGTTAGGGGACGATCATTTGATTTTCTAGGGAGCCAGGAGGATTTTGAAAATAAATATCCTGGTCTGGTAAGGGCTGAAAATAAATAACCTTGCATAACACAGGATGAAAATACTTATTCTGCAACACAAAATGCAGGAAACAATTGTGTACATAAAGTAAAAATAGATTTTCTTCAGGCAACGCCGCAGGAAAAGAAAACAAGCATTGCAAAGACGAAAATGAATATGTAAACAATAGAAATATAAAATGTATCTTTCAGCAATGTTCTTTATGAGCTGCTTCAAGCTGAGTATTGTCATTTTTATGCCCCCTCCGTAGCGGTGGAGGCATTAAGTTTTACCTTGTCCGTCTGTACGTACATACGTTCGTCCGTCCGTACGTCCCATAATTGGTTTCTGTTCTCTTACTTGAGTTTGCCTCATCCAAATGTTATGAAACTTATACACAATGCTTATTACCACAAAACACAAACCAAGTGTGAATTTTGGTGGCGTCACTTTAACCGTTCCAGAGTTATGCCCCTTAATAAATGGAAAAATTGCAAAATTTTTAGTTTCCGTTCTCTAACTTAAGTTTGCCTCAATCAAATGTTATGAAACTTATACACAATGTTTATTACCACAAAACACAGATCAAGTTTGAATTTTGGTGGCGTCACTCTAACCTTTCTAGAGTTATACCCCTTAATAAATGGAAAAATTGCAAAATTTTTAGTTTCCGTTCATTAACTTAAGTTTTTCTCATCAAAATGTTATGAAACTTATACACAATGTTTATTACCACAAAACACAGATCAAGTTTGAATTTTGGTGGCGTCTCTCTAACCGTTCTAGAGTTATGCCCCTTTATAAATGGAAAAATTGCAAAATTTTTATTTCATTCTTTTGGGGTCGTATATTGGTATGACGTTGGCGTCGTCGTCGTCCAAAGACACATTGGTTTTCGCACTCTAACTTTAGTTTAAGTGAATGGAACTTTATGAAATTTTACCATAAGGTTCAATACCACAAAAGGAAGGTGGGGATTGTTTTTGGGGTTATGGTACCAACTGTTAAGGAATTAGGGGCCAAAAATAAGCATTTTTATACGACCGCAAAAAAATTTTGAGGTCGTATATTGGTATGACGTTGGCGTCGTCGTCGTCTGGCGTCGTCGTCTGAATACACAATGGTTTTCGCACTCTAACTTTAGTTTAAGTGAATGGATCTCTATGAAATTTTACCATAAGGTTCAATACCACAATAGGAAGGTGGGGATTGATTTTGGGGGTTATGGTACCAACAGTTAAGGAATTAGGGGCCAAAAAGGGGCCGAAAATAAGAATTTTTGTAACTTCCAGACATAACTTGTGTGTTAGCATATGGATCTCTTTGACATTGTACCACAAGATTCCATATCACAAAGGGTCAATGCTGGGATTGGTTTTGGGGTTAATTGCCTCAAAATTTTAGGAATAAGGGGCCAAAAGGGGGCAAAAAACAAGCATTTTTCTAGTTTCATGACAATAACTTGTGTGTAAGTGTATGGATCTTTCTGAAATTTTACTACAAGGTTCCATTTCACAAAGGGAAAGCTGGAATTGAGTGTTGTGGTAATTGCCCAAAACGTTTAGTAATAAGGGGCCTAAAAAGGGGTTTAAAATAAGCATTTTTTAGTTTCTAGACAATAACTTGTGTTCAAGTGTATGGATCTCTCTAAAATTGTATTACAAGGTACCATACCACAAAGGCAAGGCTGTTATTGAGCTTGGTTTGGGGGGAAAGGGGGGTGGGGGTGATGAATCATAAGGGGGGCGGGGGTAAAAAAAGGGGTAATTTTTTTTTTTTCCTTTTATTTTTGTTTAAAATTTACATTTTAAGTTAGTAATTTTTTATCACGAAGAGAAAGTAGGAATTGAGTTTTGGGGTTAATTGCTCAAACATTTATGAATAAGGGGCCAAATATTGGTCAAAAATAAGGATTTTTTTAGTTTGCAACAAAAACTTGTGTTCAAGTGTATGGATCTCTGTGAAATTGTATTGCAATGTACCATACCACAAATTGAAGGTTGTGATTGAGGTGGGGGATGATGAATCAAAAGGGGGTTGAAAAAATGTGTGGGAGGTAGGATTTTTTTTTTCCTTTTTTTTTCTTTAAAATTTTCCATTTAAAGATGGTTGTTTCAGATTTATATATGAAAGAAAATAATAATGATACCGTTATATATCATGAGGAATTGAAATTTAAAATTATGTATATTGGAAATTTAGGTTACATTGGAAAGTAATAATTGGCTTTGGGGGGGGGGGGGGGGGGGGGGGGGGGGGGGGGGGGGGGGGGGGGGGGGGGTGGTGGTGGTTATGGCTCTAATGTTTAAGGAATAAGGGGGAAAAAGGTTAAAAAACAAGGGTTTCCATTTTAATAGACAAATAATTGAGTAAAGAACATTATTTAAAAGCAGTGTAAGGTTGGTAATTCAAACTCATTTAAATATCTCATCTACACTGCTTTTAAATTATGTAAATTGGAAATTTGCCAATAACTTTATTGTTAATAAATGCATTGGAAATTTGCCAACAATTTTAGTGTAATAAACTTCATTGGAAATTTGCCAATATAAAATTTTGCTGATGAAGGTTTTTTGTTTACCTTTAGCCTTGACTATGAAGTCATTTTCTATTTTTATAGCCTTATGATGTAGTTGAATTATTTAATACTTTTATGATGTGTTTAAATGGGGTTTTATCATGTTTATGGTTGCAAATTTATTGTTTTAGTATAATAAACTCCATTTAAAATTTGCCAATAAAAAAAATTTTGTTTATTTTTAGCTATGATTATGATGTCATTTTCTATTTTACTTTTATGGTTGCAAAGAAATTTTTATTTTTAGATATTACTGTTAAATGATGCTGATTAAGGTTTTTGCTATGTTTAGCCATGACTATGATGTCATTTTCTATTTTAATATCTGTTATGATGTATTTAAATGGGCTTTTATGGTTACAAAGGAATTTTATTTTTAGATATTACTATAAAATGTTGCTGATGCTGATTAAGGATTTTGTTTATTTTTAGCCATGACTATGATGTCATTTTCTATTTTAATACCTTTATGATGTAATTTCCATTTTTAGATATTACTGTTAAATGATGCTGATTAAGGGTTTTTTGCTATGTTTAGCCATGACTATGATGTCATTTTCTATTTTAATATCTTTATGATGTATTTAAATGGGCTTTTATGGTAACAAAGGAATTTTATTTTTAGATATTACTTTGAATGTTGCTGATTAAGGATTTTTGTTTATTTTTAGCCATGACTATGATGTCACTTTCTATTTTAATACCTTTATGATGTATTTAAATGGGCTCCCATGTATTTAGATTTTTGATTATTTATACATGTTACCAAATTGGTCCACATTGAACAAAAACAGTCCAAATTTCAACTTTATTACATTAAATCAAACATTGAATTCTACATATTCTTTGATATATTGAAATTAACAAACAATTTAGTTTATGGATATTCCACCATAATAGGTAAATTAAATTTTTTCCAGTTCTTACACCACATTCATCCTGTGTCAGAAACCTATGCTGTGTCAAATATTTAATGACAATCCAAAGTCATAGCTGTATCAAGCTTGAATTTTGTGTCCATACTTGCCCCAACTGTTCAGGGTTCGACCTCTGCGGTCGTATCAAGCTGCGCCCCAGCGAAGCATTTTATTGTAACTTCCAGACATAACTTTTGTGTTAGTGTATGGATCTCTCTGACATTGTACCACAAGGTTCCATATCACAAAAGGAATGCTGGGATTGATTTTGGGGGTAATTGCCTCCAAATTTTAGGAATTAGGGGCCAAAAAGGGGCAAAAAAAACAAGCATTTTTCTAGTTTCATGACAATAACTTGTGTGTAAGTGTATGGATCTCTCTGACATTGTACCACAAGGTTCCATATCACAAAGGGA